GGGGGGGGGGGGGGGCAGGCATTCTGGAGAGTAGCTGCACTGTGATTTCAGCAGACAGGGGTCCCATCCACTTGCAGAGGTGGCCCAATGACTTGGAATCTAGCACTGTTGAGCATCACATGGGACTGGAACCTCTCACCTGAAGGCCCTGAGTGTTAAGCCTGCCTTGACGTGGTGTCCTCTGCACTGCTGCAGTTCCAAAAGGGAAAGCACAAGAATTTGCGCGTACTTATTGGTATCCTGGTAGTTTGCTAGTCAGCCTGCAAAGTCTTGCTTAGGACAACCAAAGGGAAGGCAAGCCCTTTCTCCGCCCTCCTCCTCTTCTGTGCAGTACCCTGGAGGTGGTCTGTTTTGGGGTGGAGGGGGCCTGGGCTGGGGATGGAGCAAGAAGCCAGGCTGCTGAGTTGGCGAGGAGCCAGCCCCTGCCTCCCAGAAGCCATTCGCCACACTATGCTGGCAGCTGAGACCACTCAACCACTGTGTTTCATGGATTTGAAGGGAGGAGGAGATGCTTATCAGTGTAACTGAGAATTTGGGTGGGCTTTGGCAATACCGAGTCATCCCAGGCCTTCTCTTCTTCCTCCTCTTCTTGTCAGTCTGAAAAAATGGGATAGTTTGGTTGACATTTATTTACTTCTTTAAAGAATTCTTCCCTTCTAAATCGTATATGTCACTCAGGGTGTCATACAGCATTTAAAGTAGGCAGAAACCTAGAGTGTTTACAAGAGAAAAGCCAAAGGCCAGTGCTAAAAACAGTTCCAAGAGAATCATGAGATACCCTCCTCAATAAGTCACAGGGCCACTGGTGGGAACCTCTTCCTAAAAAGGGAGGTTTAGGCCCATTGGGGGAATTGCGTTGGCCATTGGGATTGTGCCCAAGAAACCAGCTGGTAACCAGCTCAGCCTGTGCAGGACCAGCATAACTCGGTCCTGCCCGTGAGCTCCCAGTGGCTATTTCCAGGGACCCGTCAAAGGTAGCCCCGGGTCAAGCGCATAACAAGAATCCACTCTGGGTACGAAAGAGGCGTGTGCCACCGTGGCCAGGGCTGAGTTAGCATGCCAGCTTAAACTGGGCAAAGGTACAAAGCTGAATCCCTCCATGTGGCCAGCCTGATCCTTCAGGGGAATGCTGCCTCAGCCACGGCAGGCTGAACAGCTCTTTCTCAACCTGCTTCCTGACCAGCAATACCTCTTGTTTGCACTGATGCTCGGTTTAGTTGCCCTCATCCAGCCCCTTGGGTATGAAAACACATCTTAAATCCCTCCCAGCAGTTCCCTGTAGATCTCAAATATCTTAGACTGGATCCTAAAAAACATTGAACCTTGGCTCCCTGGGGTGTGCCCAAAGCAGGCCCTCTGTTCCTGGAGCGTATTGTGCTTGATAGCACCGCATACTGCTAAAAGGCCCCTCAGAACCAACAGGGATACATTCCCCATAATCTGCCAGGTTGAAATACATCTGGCTCTTCTGGCCCTGGAGCTGAGGTGCCTTAGGCATCAGCTCCCTCCTCCCTGGCCTGGCCAAGTCTTTCTGCCTATCCTACCACCTACTTACTGGGGACTTGATTCAGCACCTTGTCATATTCCAGAGATGATCAGGAAACAATGCAACTCATTAAAGTTTTCTTGTAGCTAAGATGGACATTAATCCAGCACCCCCTCAGCTGCAGCCTTTCTGGGCCTGGGCCTCCTGTTTACATGCTGCAAATGCCAAAGAATGTGAAATCCTCCCTGTTTTTTTTCCTGTCTTGGAAAGGTGGCATCAAATGTAGGAACCTTCCAGTTCCTTCTCTGCTGCTGCTCCTTCTTAGTTCATGGTGGTTCAGGAGCCTGCAGAGGCTGCGAGAAAGGTCCTGGAGCCAGAGTACCCACAGACATTGCATTTGATTTAGCAACAGATGGTGGCTGTTTCTCCACCTGTTTTCACTTCCGTTAGTTTTTCTTACAAATAAGATACAAATGAGGTATGTTTTGTGCAAAGCCAGTGGTCAGGTTCTTCTGTCCCAATTGGTTGGTTCCTATTCCATTGGGGATGGGTGGAGGTGGGAGGCCAGACTTTGGTGGGGAATTGCCTTGTTGCTTGGGCTGCTACTTCTAGCCTCCTCCTCTGTGTGTGTACCCAGCTATGTCTACAAGGACTCGAACACCCTGCACCTCCCCACAGAGCGCTTCTCTCCAGTGCGCCGTTTCTCCGATGGAGCAGCCAGCATCCAGGCCTTCAAGGCTCAGCTGGAGAAGATGGGTAACCACAGCAGTATCAAGCAGCTCCAGCAGGTACAGAGCAGTGTGCGTGTGTGTGTGAGAACCCAGCAAGGGTGGGTGGTCTAATAGGCAGTTGACCTGCAGGACTGCATTTGAAGTCCAGAGTGGCATCTTCCATTTGCAGCCCACGTCTGTCTTTTTCTTGCTGTTTGGAAGACAGAAGAATGGCACCGTATCTTTTATAGTGCCAGGAGCCCTTGTTTTGAGAATTCCCATGACAGTTCCCTCTTTTTCTCTGAAGAGTTGCCGGTTTTTGGTTCCCATCAGAGTCCCTTATTGCATATGTTTATTCTTGGGCCAGCCACCAGTGTGCGTTGTACGACTGCTGCTTGTCCTCCTTGACATGCCTCTCTGCCAAGGAACCTCCACCATTTGGAAGGGCTGGCCGGGAGGCTTCAGTGCTCTCTCCACGCATGGCAGCTCTGAGGGTCCTTGGAGGGAAGATGTGGAGCAAATAGAAGCGGAATAGGGATGCCCAGGACCTGCTGTTGAGGTGCTCCTAAGTCCAAGAAGCATTTCGGCCCTCTCAGATCTTGTTATATGAACCACTGCAGGGAGAGCGGGACGGGGCGGCTTCTTTCAGAAGAAGGCTGCTGCTTCCTCCTCCTGTCAGGCAGCGTGCAGAGAAAGCTGCCCAGTGGCTCCAAACTCACTGTTCTTATGCAGTGCTGAGGCTGCAGTGGGTGATCCCTGGCTGCCATCGCATCAGGCAGAGCTTGCCTGCAGCCCTCTCACCTCTGGCTCTCTGCAGCCAAGCAATGGCTGAGCCTCACCAGGGGCTTGTTTCAGGAATGTGAGCAGCTCCAGAAGATGTACGGGGGGCACATGGATGAGAGAACTCTGGAGAAGACACAGCAGCAGCACATCTTGTACCAGCAGGAGCAGCATCACCAGATCCTTCAGCAGCAGATCCAGGTATTGGTGCATTTGCGGTGGGCTTCCTGCCATGGGTTTGTGCAGCATCTTTGGATTGGTTTGGCTGGAGAGTCCTTCCTTACCTCTCCTCTTCCCTGCCTCCTTCACTCCACCCTTTCTTTCTCGGTTTGGCACCCTGCCTTCTGGCTTCTGCAAAGCTTGCCGCCTCTCCGGCATCCGGGGCGACTCCACTGAATGCCAGGGCACAGTTCAGCCCAACTCTCATGCAGAGGCTTCTCTCCTTTTGCGTACTGCTGAAGGAGCAGGGTCAGCGGTGGGGGCTGCTCACTAGCATTCCTGTCTTTCCTCCCTCTTCCCGTACCTTGCACAGGATTGCATCCGCCCTCCACAGCCTTCTCCGCCCTTGCAGGCAGCAAGTGAAAACCAGCCCGCTCTGCTCACTCACCAGCTCCAGAGGTAAGCAAAGCCGTCCGCCTGCCTTCCTTCTGGGAGGCATCCAGGAGACCTGAGCCCTCTGCGCCTGGTAGGGAACCGCTGGTACCTTCTGGATCAGTAGAAGGAGAGGAGTTCAGGCCTTCGTGCCTGCTAACAGGGCTCATTTGCAAAGCCCAAGTCTTGCTCAGATCTCAGGAAAAAGGAGGCGGCAGGGTGGTCGTTCCTGCTGAAACCTTTCTAAGCTGAGCTGAGCCTCTGCAGGAGTTGCAGCATCGCTCCCTTTCGCAAGAATAGACTGCAGGAATCTGGCAGAGACGATGAGGAAGTTGCTGAGCACAGCAATAAAATGGCAACTGGTTAATCACCCTTGGCCGAATAAAGCTGTTGAGCTAAGCTTGTGTAGGAAGGTGGACAAGGGGAAACTGCTGAGAGCTTCCAGGCCCTGGTATGGAAGGGTCAGAATTAAATAGGGGTGTAAATAATGTTAAAGCTCTTTCACTGTGAACACTTCATGTTGTATGAGAAATACATTATTTGAACTAGTATGTTCCCTAGAAATGTTATTCTGTTTTATAATTGTTTCCTGGGTTTGGTTTTTGGGAAAGATGGAGATTGGCTCAGTGTCTTTCATTTCCTGGCCTGAATTAATTAAATTAATTAAACTTTGAAATTCGGTGCCACGAGATGCGACGCTGGCTACCAGGTTGTCTGGCTTCGAGAAAGGGTCGGACCAATTAATGGAGTCCTGGGGATCCGTGGCTCTCTGCTCCTGAAGGCCCTGTGCTGAGAAGCTAGTAGTGGGCGTTTTGGTGCAGGTGGTGGGCCACTGGGAGGACAGCTGCTGGACTCGACGTGCCAGGGGTCCGATCCAGCAGGGCACGGCTTCTGTTCTCAGGTTCTGATGTTCTGATTTGTGCTGGGTGGGCTGTTGCTTGCAGAGCAGAAGTCTTCTTGTCTCCTTTCAGTTGACCTATGGGAAGGGAGGGCCCAAGTAGTTGGCCGGCCAGCTGGAGGAACAGACTCCCAAAGTGGATCATGCCACGTTCTTCTGAGACTCCACGTGAGGGGTGTGCTTTGCAAAGCGACATTTGATTTTTTGTGTGCATGTAGATTACAGATCCAGCCCTCCAGCCCACCTCCAAGCCACCCCAGCAACCATCTCTTCAGGCAGACGGACAACAGCCCCCCGCCTGTTAGCAGTGGCGTGCTCCAGACCCACAGTAGGTGTCGTGGCGAGCAGGTGGCCCCCTCCCCTCCCCTCCTCCCCTCCCCTCCTCTCCCCCAGCCAGGCAGGAGTTTGCTTTGCTCCACGCGGCTTCTCTGCTACCCAGGGAGTCCCAGCAGTTTTCTGAGATGACAAGGGACAGAGGGCTTTAATGGAGGAGTTGCTCTTGGCAGGTGCAGCCTCCCAGACTCAGTTCCAAGCGGGGACACCGTCGCCACCGCCGCCACACAGCACCATCTTCCAGCAGCCTGGGGACCGCTCCCCGCCCCCTAACCTGGCCTTGCCCTGCGTGGGCCTGCAGCAGCAGGGGCAGCCCGTCCCTCTCCCAATGCAGGAGCCCGGAGACCTGGTGGGCAGCAGTCTTCTGCAGGCCGGGCGGGGCTTGCCCATCCCCCCCAACACCAGTCCGCTACAGATGCACCATCGTGCCAGTTTGATGGCTTCCCTGACCTATGGGCACAGGCCCCTTTCTAAGCAACTCAGCGCGGACAGTGCCGAGTCCCACAGGTACGATGGCCCTGCCGGCTGGCTGAGGGCAGAGGGAGGGCGTGCGTTCCTGGCTTGGCCATCCAGGAGCGGGGTGAGCCTCCCTGGGGTACGAGCAGAGGAGGGGGCCCCTCCATCCTGCCGCTTGCGGTTCCACCTGGGCAGCGAGCCGATTCGGATGGCCCTGGCCCAGCCCGGCCCGCACCCTCCACACACACTCTCCCTCTTTGCAGGTATCCATCGACCCCCGGCTACAGCCAGGCGCACCTGCACCCCCAGCTGTTCCCCGAGCCGTCCCGCGTCTCTCCGAGCAGCTTCAGCCCCACCGCGCCCGTGGGCTTTCCTCCGGCCCAAGCCCTGAAGGTCCCGCCGCTGGAGCAGTTCCCCGGCTTCCCCCAGAGCGGCCGGCAGCAGCAGCCACCACAGCCGCAGCAGCAGCAGCACTACGCCGCCTCGGCCCTGCATCAGGCCTTGCTGTCCCCGACCCCGCCAGACTACAGCCGGCGCCAGCAGGTTCCCCCCATCCTGCAGGGCCTGCTTTCACCCCGCCACTCGCTCGCAGGCCACCCCGACCTGCGGCTGCCCCAGGGAGAGGTGGCGCAGCTGATCAAGCGGCGGCAGCAGCAGCAGCAGCAGCAGCAG